AATCACGAAATAGTATACGCGATGAAATACGCAGAACGCCGTAATGACGCGTGACGGGAGCGCGAAAACTAATATCAACTCATACCCGAGACTCTCCGATGAAATAGAAAAATAAGTGTGACGTTATGTGTTCCGTCAGTTCTAGCGTAGGGCCAAATATGCCCCATTCCTGAGATCCATCATTGGGACCACATCCACCACGTCACACCGAATAGTAATTACAATGACTCTACTCTATCTCTGCGCGACCAATTACCGAGAATGACTCTACTTCAACGTACGCAAACGGAAGGTTATCGGGAACCGCTACACGCAAAAATTCTCGCCAAAGGAGCAATATCCACCAAATAAGGACTACTCGTAGAACGAACGGCCCACGCCACATAAAGGTTTCTTTCTGAAAGGACGAGACACCGTCGGGATTTCTCGCACAAGTTCTCGCTAACTAAACAATACGCGTACGATAATCTCTCGCGAAAGAAACGATACGTGCACAATAATTTCTCACAAAATAAACGATACGCGCACCATAATTTCTCGCAAAATAAACGATACGCGCACAATAATTTCTCGCAAAATAAACGATACGCGCACAATAATTTTTCGCAAAATAAACGATACGCGCACAATAATTTCTCGCAAAATGAACGATACGCGCGCAATAATTTCTCGCAAAATAAACGATACGCGCACAATAATAAACGATCCGCGCAATATAATTTCTCGCAAAAGAAATTATAACGATACGCGCAATATCACTCAAGGTTTCTCGCAACCTAAACGATACACGCAAATACAACTCAAGGTTTCTCGCAAAACTAAACGATACACACAACATAGGAGTGCCCGCATAACACCCCTCGAAACGTAACGTGAAGCCTCGCCGTACGGTCCACACCGCGAGCACGTGATACTCACGCCTAATTCAGCCCGGGGCGTGCGGTATTCTCAGCCGGAGTAAATCTTACTCTCAATTTCTGAACGTTAATCGCGATCGATTTCGGGCACCTTCTTCGAGAAGGCTGACTCTAGGTCCGGTATGCCGACGCCTCACACTTCCCGTACCGGGCGCGGTACTTTACGTATCCCGGAGGCCGACACGCCCCTGAACGGCCGGACGCGTGGAAAGCCCGCACGACGAAGTTTTCACTACGCGAAAACTAACTCTACCGGGAACGCCGATATCTTACACACTAAACGATAGGCACGATAATCATAAACGGTAATCTCCGAATACTCGAAACGGTAATCTTACGCGACGGACTGTTGAGTCGACCGGCGAGGTTTTACACGCGACACGCATCACCCTCGTGACGGGCGGCCGGCGCTGCACCGTTCTTACTATCCGGTCCCAGGTCGGTCGAGTCGGGAAGAAACGGACGCCCCTTCGATATTCTTACGGGGAGTCAGCGGGCGGGATATGTCTTACTCGTAGAAACGAAACGAAACGAAACGAAAAGCGATAATCCTCTCAATGGATTCACGGCAATGGCGCGTAGGCAAGGAAACTCTCAAGCAAGCCTACGCGTCTCTCTCAAAATCTTACGCGACCCGATACTGACACTCCGCCCGCCGTTCCCCGATACCTGATGTCTGGGATGGGTGGCTGGTTACATCTCGTCCTTCCTTCCTTCCTTCAATCTATCTCTTAGGGCCGCCGCCCTCGCTTATTCTCTCGGTACACTTTCCTCGGACGTCCGTCCACGCTCGCGGTCTCCTCAACAGTCTCTCGATCATTCCCGCGGCTTCGACTCGCGGCCCTCTAGATCAGGGCGCTTCACCGCACCGGCGGATGGCGCCACGCTGTCTAAACGGGCCCTCCGGCCGCTTCTTCCTGAAAACTATCGGCAGTACGCGCGCAATACAAAGATGGGAATGGGGAAGACTGTGACGTGCACGCGGTGCAACGTCACAGTTTAATCAACCAAATCTTAAAAAATTATATATGAAATAGGGGTAGAAAAGACTAAAAAGTATAATAAAATTAGAAATAGATCGATATCTCCAAATTTGCGGAAGTTAGAGCAACCACGGACATTTCTAAAAAAATTCAAAACTTTTTAAAAAAAGAACCCCTTTACCGATCATCGCCAAATTCAATACCAACCTTCCTTGAATAATACTCTATCGATAAAAAAAAAACAGCCCGATATCTCAATATTTGCGGAAGTTAGAGCAATCACAACATCAAATGTGCGCGCGCGCGCGCGCACACACACACACACACACACACACACACACACACACACACACACAC